CGTATATACAACGGGAGACTCATAAAAGTTAGTTATATTTATATATAAAATGTTTTTTGTTTATTTTTATGATGGTAAAGTTATATTTTTATAAATTGTAACAAATAAGGAAAATGTGTTTTAATTATGTAATATTAACTTATCATTTCATAGTGGCAGTTTGTATTTTAAATAGGAAAATGTTTAATAAAAACTTTTTTATCATTATCATCATATGGGTATGAATTTTATTATAGTCAATGTTTGAATAATGAATTCCCTAATAATCTAATTATTTTTATAAAATTGCAATTAAAATTTTATTTATAATTAATTTATTTAACTTTTATTTATTGCATAAATCAAAAATAGTCAAAAGCATTTTACACGTTTAATACTTTAAAACATAAAATTGTAATTTATTTTAATTATACAGAACAATTATCATATATTGGTCATGGACAAGGCACCCTCATAATGTTTGGCCTGTTGGCCACCCAGCCACATTACTCCACCGTGATCAAACCATTTATAGCTCTATCGCCGTTGCCATTCATAGGCAACTCTAGCTCACCATTATTCACATACGGGCAAAATTCATTATCACTGCTCAGGCAATTTACAAAACCAAAATAACCCAATTCAAAACTTTTAATTTAAACTATTCTATCATGCTTAGAACAAAACGAGCCCCTTTGATGATATCGCCTAAAGTACAAAATTTTTTGGCCCACCTGTGCGACTCCAGTTCTGTAGCTAGAGCAATTTGCTTCCGAGTTATACATGATGTTTATGGTTATCAACGTGAACAGTTTAATTTTGTATTAAAAATTTTACATCTCTCTCTCTCTCTCAAAATTATCTATAATTAGATTTATAACAATTACATTAAAAGTAACATAAACAATAAAACTTTTTTACCCCGATTACCATACCAGACCCGTACAGGCGTATACATAGCGAACATGCAGTCCGGGTCCAGCAGTTGGAATTTTGCACATCTATTACAGATAAGGTCTGCCAATCGGCCCGAGCGCTATGATTACGGCGATCCGGACACTAATCTGGCCCGACATGAGACCCCTGAGCCGCCACCGTATGACTTGTCGGCCATCAACTCAACACATGTGGCCCTCATATATACGGCCAACGATTGGCTCAATCCGTTGGACGACGTGCAACGGCTCAAAGAGCATTTAAAAGGTGCGCTAGGTTAAATGTTAACAAACAAACAATTAAAACAAAAATAGTTGTTGTTTATATTGTTTATGCACAATTATAAAGTGACAAGATGATTTATTTGGTATTTATATAGTTAAATTACTGGATGACTATCAAGTGCCGGATGAGACGTGGAATCATATGGAGCTGGTGTGGGCAGTAGAAACGGGACAGTTGGTCAACCCCCGTGTATTAAATATATTGAAAAAAGTGCATGATAATGAAAATGCTATTGATAATACTAAAACTAATAATACCACTAATAGGATTGCTCAAAATTAATTACATAACACAAATTAATATACTAAATAATTTCCAAAAGTATTATAAGTTATATACAGTAATAGGATAAATTTACAATTTCAAATATGTACTAGGTAAATTGTATTAATTTAAAAAAAATTTAAATGGTCTAAATATTCAAAAATCTCAAAGTTTTAATAATGATATAATTATTAACAGCTCTATTTTTGAGTAAAAGTAGTTTAGTCTCTCTCTCTCTCTCTCTCTCACACACACACATCCAGATGTAATTTACATACTGCAATGTCTAATTATAATAATGA